TGTAAATAGGGTTTTCAAAGGCTCTGCCTATCTCCCTTATATATACTGAATTTTACTGAATTAAAAAAGTGCCCCATAAATGGGCCGCATAGTATATGTGCTGGACCAACACAGGTGCTAGATCAGGGCACGGTAGGCGTTCTTCTGGTTGCGCTCCCACTACATATGCCGATATGGGGTGATGAAGTGATGACATGTATAGATGCAGGCTCACGCCGCACAAGGCAATTGCACACCAAGCCGCCTCCGGTTATCCTGACTATGTCATAACACCGGACTCCGGTCGGTAAGGAAAAACAGAGGACAGTTGATAAAGCGTAAGTTTAATTTCAATCTAAACTAATTAATGCATAAGTTACCATCCCCGTATCCCCCTGCTATGGACCTAGTCGAAACCGACGTTCAAACAGTCAACTTCTTTGTTAAAAAGCAGACACTTACACAAAGTAAAGCTACTGCTTGAAGATTTTCGGACTTCTATAATATCTCCGTGATGTAAACTTGTAAAGGAGACAAGACATCTCATATTTTGCTATGGCTGTGCTTTTGAAAGAATTAGTTAAACTTTTAATTTGTCAAATCGTAAGCGCGCCTATTGAAGTTCGTGATTTTGCCGATGGAGTGCTTAATCGGCATTAAGTTCGACGATTTCGTCATCTTAGCCTCGGATTCGAGAATTAATCATTCGATTATTACCTTGAAGCAGGATGTTGACAAAATGTTCAAACTAAGTAATCGTGTTTTGATGTCTGTGTGTGGCGAAGCGGGTGACACTGTTCAGTTTGCTGAATACATTCAACAGAATATGCAACTATACGAGATGCGAAATGGTACTTTTCGTCGTTTTTTAAGTTTCTATTCCCAGGATATGAATTGTCTCCTAGTTCAGCCGCTAATTTTACAAGACGAAACCTGGCCGAAGCACTTCGCAGCAGAGTATGTATCCCCGTTCATCACATGATCCTGTAGCACCCATACATGGTCAACCTTTTAATTGCTGGATACAACCCGGACACAGGTCCCGAATTGTACTACATGGATTACTTGGCCTCAATGGTTAAGGTACACCAGTCAGTTTATCTTTTCTTTTTAATATTTCATTTTTTCCACGTTTTTAATATACTACCAGCTTTGTCGAAAATACCTTTCTTTCGCACTATCAGGCGCTTTGTGTTCTTTTATAACACTTGTGCTCACCTTTCCTCACTTTCCTTGGATAAGCTGCCCCTCATATTTTTTGTTCATGCCGTATACCTTGCAGCCAGTCACACTTGCAGTCCATGCATCAGATATTTTCTGTGTCGCTTTTGTGAGCATGTTGTCTTCACTGGGTATTTGGAGAGGCACTCAACCTCCAGGGCAAGAATCTGAATTAATCTAGCTTAGCGACAGCTCATATTTGGCACAGAGTTGGTCGACAATTAATTCTTCGACTGGCGGGCTCACAGACTTTTAGTAGTAGGTCATTAGGCTAAGTGCCTACCAGACCGCACAGTACCAGAGTAATGAAAATTTCGAAAATTTTGACAAAGTTCTCACCAAAGAGCTTGTGGGGAACTCGAATATTCTTTGAAGGGTGTCCACGACGATTTTTGCTCATTATTGGTTTTGCTCGGCCTTTCCTAGCAGACCATAAGCAACTCGATGTTAGAGGAGGCTAATTTACCATACAGCGACAAATAAGATTCCTGTGTGTTTACGGATGGCAGTAATTCGGGAGAGTTTAGTGCCGTGTAGTCGTCACACAATCTCAGTAAAAAAAAGCGAGGGTGGTGCCAAGCGCCTGTCGTAAGATGCGAGCTCAGGCATGTGGTCGGTCTTTGTTAGACATGGTCTTTGTACCCACCCACGTTATAATAGTTCAATTTTGCTCACGGGTTAAGTTGCATAAAATGGAAATAACTGACCTCTCCGTAATCCCTGGCCTTTATCAGTTTGTCTTTTCACTGGCGGTTCATGATCATAATATGACAATGTTGTCATATAGCTTCGTAGCATCCGACGAGGCACCCAGAATGCCAGATCTCATACCTTAGCTGGTCGGCAACTGCTTATCCTTCAGACACCAACGTCCACTTC